TGTTTGCTTCTGTCTAGCTGAGTTAAGCAGCACTTCTGTGTGCACAGTGGCTTGCGCACACATATAGAATGGAAAGCCCGAAAGAGAAGCCTTGTCACTGACAACCCTTTGCTGGGCAAGATCTGTATATAAGAACTCTTAAGCTCATATTGAGCTGCTCAGAAAAGGCATTGGATTACAGACTGTAACGCTTCCGTCTCTTCTGGAAACATACATATAAAGTAGCGGTAGACAGTGGTAACTGACAACTAAGACTAAAAATGTTGACAATTTCTTGATTTGCCTGGTTAGCTTATGTATAGAAGTCATTAACTATTTATAAAATGCATTATGAATTGGGTTCCTTCAAAATGTAGCGGTATGTGTGACATTTTCTAGCACCAACTACCTTGCTTGCATTTGGCTACAGTATGCATTTATAGTCAAAACAGAATGATAAAGTTAAGAGCATAAAACACCTTTGTAATTATTACATTAACTTACTATCTTTTGCTCTCCTTATGACAATCAGCTTCATCTAGGGTGCTAGTTAGATTATTGAAGTTATTATTTTAAAGACAAAGGAGAATGTTGTATTGGTATTTTAGATAGGTTTCAAAAGAACAAATGGGTACTTTAGTTCAAAGTCATAGTCTTTTATATGATCAATTCATTTTGGAATTAAATTGTGATCAAAAATGGGATCAAATTACTTATTGATGAATATGGTAGAGTTGGTCCTAATTGTAGTCAAAGGGTTTCGTTGTTTTATAAAGCTTCTCCTTTTATAATTAAGAGAGATCGGAACAATAAGGGGAACATGGCAATGAATGTTGGCTGTTCTATTGATGATGTAGATTATACCAGCCTTTTCCAACTTTGTGCCTTCTAGACACATTTGGACTGCAACACCCAGAATTCCTAGTCAATGGCCCTGCTGGATGGGAATTTTGGGAACTGTAGTCCAAATGCCCTTGAAGGCCACCAGGTTGGGGAAGACTAGATTACACTGACCTTAAATGAAATATAAACAGAAGACAAACTCTGTAATAAGAAAGTATGTTATATTCTTTTCAAGTTGGGAAAAAAAGAAAACTTCTGTTCAGACAGATGCTACATTATGGAACTTTCTGTAGGTTCTAAAGATTGTAGGCAGATGAATTTCAAAGGGTATGGGCAGATTAATGCACACCCAATTCATTTAGGGCAGGGGTCTCAAACTCAACTTACCTGGGGGCCACTGGAAGTAGAGTCTGGGTGAGGCTGTGCCGCATCAGGTATTCCACCACTACTGCAGTGGTGGTGGGCCGCTCATCCTGCGTCGCTCCCGGGCGCCGCTGGTGCTTTGAAGGCCGCAGGGCCCCTCCCCCATGCCCCGCCTGTCCCGGCAATTGGCCCGTGGGCCGCGAGTTTCAGACCACCCTGATTTAGGGAGTTGAACTCGTTGCTAGTGCAGAGTTTTCCTAAAGTATGGGTGTTTCAGATCCAGAGACTAATCTTACTTTGGTGGCCATACATTCTCTGGGCTTTCACAGAAAAGTATATACCTGGGGAAAGGAGCACAAGGCATTCTTAGTGTTTCACCTTTCCCCAAAGCTCAACACAAATTGAGAGTTTTTTCTGTCCCATGAAGGCTCAGAAGTGAAGGAACTGAATTAGTCTTTTATGTAACAGTAAGTCTTACTGAGTAAGAGATGCATTTTCCTCTGAGGTTTCATCTGACAACTCGGGCTGGGGGCTACTGGATTAACACATAGGACATCTTTAAATCTCTTCAGGCTATTGGTCTGTCTAGCACAGTACCATCTGCTCTAACAGTGGCTGTCTAAGGCCTCAGCCTGTAGTCTTCTAACCCTACACTTATGGTAATATGGTAAATATTACTTGCCACCTTGGGTATTTAAAGTGCATGCTGTGTCACTACACTATAACATCCCTTCCTTGACATCTGTATAGACATTAGGTCTGAGAACTTGATCTTATCCAAATGTATATAACCCTCTCTTGCACAATTAAGATGGCTACTGTCACATTTCTAAAATTACCTTGCTATCTTAAATAATGATACTTAGCTGGCATTTGCCCAGCCTGCCGCTGTCAAGATGTTTTGGACTACAGCTCCCATCAACATGGCTTATGTTTAGGAATTATGGGAGTTATAGACCTGGTTTAAGAGCTTGACTGCATGGTATATTCATGTCAAAAATAGCCATATGTAAGCTGGGATGTGACTAGGTATTTCCCAGAGACAGTTGGAAGGTATTTTGTGTAAATGCACTGAGAAGCTGGAACTACTGGCTTTCTTCATCCTTCACCTATTTTTCTCATGTATGTTTCAGCAGCTAATAACTTCTGCTCATCTTCTGCTCAGCTGCTAGGAACAATTAGCTTCTCAGCAAGAAGAAAGATAAACAGAGATAAATGCAGTCAGAGGTGCAACCAACACTGAATGCTTTCCCATATAATTGCCTGCCTTGTTCTGGAGAAGATTTAGAATTCTTAGCAAGCTGACCTTAGCTTATACATAGCTACCTTTGTTCTGATTAATGTAACATCTAATTAGGGTTTAATTCTTTGGGCCTGCAGATACCCAAATATACACATTCTGACTGGATTTAGGAAGGAAGCACATGTTCCTGCCCGAATCAGGAAAGGTTGGAGAACTCAGAGGAAGTGAAACCATTACCAACTGTTTGAATATAACATTCCTATCCAGAGGGGTGGCTGTGCAGGTGCTAGCACTGCAGGAATGCGGAAGGTCTGCTTAGATGATTTAGTAATCCTGGTACAGGTCTGCAGCTTACCCAGTAGCTTAGCAGAGGGCAGACCATGGGCAGTGTATGTTACCTCCAGGTCACCATGGCTGCATACAGGGAACAGAGCAAATACCATGGCTAAGGGGTAAGTCATTTGACCATGACTGCTTGAACTATGAGTCCTCAAAAGGAGTAAAAAAAAATCTTAAATAGAAAAGAAAAAATGGATCATGTATTGATGTGCATTTGTAACTTCTTTCCTTGTCTGATGTATATCAAACACAAAATAGGATAATATCATAATTGAGCAATCTATGCCAATTTGTTGGCTTTTTGGTGAAAAAAGGGGAAAACAAAACCCATCTCCATATGATATTCTTGCATACTGCAGAGTGTTTTAGTCTCCCATAGTGATGAAATGAATAATTTAAGCAGGCAGCTCTGATACCAGAGCCTCTTTAAAGGTTCCCATTTCCTTTAATGCTGTAGAGACTACTTTTACTTGGTTAATATGAAACTGCTGTGTCTGAGATATCCAAATAGTGTTTAAAAAAAAGGTTGGAAACACTATGTCCATTATACAAATTCTCCAGGCTTTATATGACAACTGAGTGCTACCACTTGCATAATTGTTAAGGTAATATGTGGTGCTAATGGTTATGAAGAATGGTTTTTAAAAAGTGAAAGGAGCTTGCAACTTATTTGCTGAGTCATGGCAAATCCTTTGGTTTAATTTCTGGTGTCTTTAGCATTTTGTTTACAAGTTTTACTGCTTGTAGCAAGTTCATTGCATTGAATATTGATATTTTGTTTAAGTATAGCATAAGCATTCAGAACACAATTATACATTTCAGGCTTACTATGGCTGTTAAAGAATGAAGAAGGATGCAAAATAAAATGCACTGCAATATGTATAATAAATATTTGGGATGTCTGAATTAAAGTTAATTTGCATATTCAGGACAACAGTTGGTATTTCAAATTCAAAGTCCTGCTTGAGCCTCATTTTCAAGATGTGTAACAAATTTGTAAAATAATGGCCCAATACTGCATTATTGGAATGAAAATGGAATCTGAACATTATTTATCTTTCCCAGGCCTATTTTTAGGATGTCCAGGAAAAAAGACTGAGCATTTTCAAACATTGTGTTCCATTAGGGTTACTTTGATAAAATGAGCTTTGTTCCCAGTTGAGCTCTACTTTTAATTCTTATGTCTTCAACTTGGCTGCTAGATATTGTTGCATATTAAACTTTGGTGTGTTTCCAGGAAGTAGCATGATATCTTGCATGGGAATCTCAATGTTAGAATTCCTCAGTTTCCTAATACACCATGGGAAAACACAAACCACATCACATGATTTTTCCAACAAGACTGCACATTTTATTATATATAGTTTAGTCCAACATGAATAGTCTAATATAGGCTTGTATCGCATTTCAGAGGAGTGATAGTTTATCAAACTCTTGCCTCCAATTGAAGGAAAGGCAGTACATGTCTGTCTTAAGCAGCAATTCACAACAATCTCTTGCAGTTTGGTTTACATAAATCTACTCCTCAAACACAAAAAGCTAAAGTTTATCTGCATGGCTTCTTCCCTTGGAGTTAGACTAATGAATTCATTGCAGGGTTCTGATCAGATGGATAGTAGACCTTGTGTCACAGCAGTTATTTTTTGCTTAAAAGTTTTATTTCTTCTGTAGGACAGGAGGAAAAAAAGGAGAATAGGAGAAAAAAAAACCCCTTTAGTTTTAATATCTATTAGTGTAATTGTATATGCAAATATAAATATTTAATGGCAATTCCTAGCTGTAGAATTTAAAAGACATTCCATGCAGTGTAACTCAGTTATCATAGTGACCTGGTAAAGAACCCAAAAATCAGATATCTGGTTAAACATAATTTAGGGTTTGGAAAATGGCATGAGGCATACTCAATGGAGAAAGTGGATTCAGAAAATTCACATAGTCGGGGTTTTGGGATTACTTCCATTTAACTTCATGGTGATGTTTTTCTGTGCTTTTGGTAGGCTAATTCAGATTTTACAAAATAATTTGAAAATCCTGCTAAAATACTGACAATTTTTGCAGTATTTTAACATTCTGTTGTTAAAACAGCTTTGTAATGACTTTCTTTAGAGATTTTTTTATCAAAAATGTATCCATTAGAGGGCTCTCGAGGTTTTGAGATGATCAGACTTGATAGTAATGGCTCCGGAGCTTTGCTTGCTTACACTTCTTTTCCTTTTCCTTTTTTGTCTTACAGAAAAGGTCACGGATTGCCTACAGTGACGAGGTGCGGAATGAGCTCCTAGGGGATGATGGGAATTCCTCAGAGATCCAGGTAGGATGCTAATCAAGAAGCCCTAGTGGGTGGCTGGAGGGTGAAGGAGGTCATTGGCACACTGGGCTTCTCAAGCTGCTCCTTAACAGCATTAGTAACAACTCATGTGGAAGTGATACTGTTTAATGCAAAGCTGGGGTCTTAATCAACTTCAAAATGTTTCTTGGAGATCTTACAGTTTAACCCTTTACCTTGTGATCAGTCTATCTTTTTTCAAAAAAATCTTTTCTTCTTTTTTCTTTATTATTTGCTACTTAAGGAATAACTTGAAACACAACGTTGCCGACAAAGCCAAGGTCTTCACCTCAAACACATGTAAAAGGAATAAAAAATTACATAATGCAGCTTTGATAAGAATGAAGTATAATTAAATCAACACTGGCAGGCAAAACAAATGAAAATGAGGTTTCAGAATATGACAGTTTCTCTGCTTCTATGTGGGTTGTCTCTATGAACTGGATTCTCTTCTCTGAATTTTAGTCCAAATTGCACCAAGAAGTATACCATTCTAATAGATAAGTTATAAAATGTTAGTGGTTTTAAAGTAAAACTGTATGTCACTTTGTTCATCTTCTTATATTCATAGTGTTCATTACACCATAGTCAGTTTGGTAAGATTTTTACAATTATTAAAACAAGTACTTTCATGGCTTAACACCCTATCTATACAGAACTTTAACTAGAAGGCTTTCTATAGGAACTGTTACTTTGCGTGCCTTTGCCTGCCTTTATCCTTGATTAAAACTTTTGAGACCTTCCCATTTGAAAGAGTTAGTTCATATTTGAGATAATGCTAAGTGTTCAATAGTTAATCTTTTCTTCATTCCTAGGATGTGTTTATTACTCATTTCAATGTATCAGTAAAATTGGTTTAATATTTTTCATTAAAAGGCTAAAATGTTTTAATCTACTAAAGCTTTGCTTCTCTCACATTTTATCACCATGTATTGCATTTTACATTAAAATTCCATTATACACTTAGAACACAATTCAGTGGAAACTTTTAAGTTCCATTGTATTGCCATAGAGCTAAGTTCCACTTTCCCATTAAACTGAATGGAACTTTAACTTGGCTAGATTATGCCCTTGCTTTTATGGCTTATTAGCATATCTATATCTAGGGAAAATGTAACTCATTTAATAAAGGGATTGTTCATATCTGCGTGTATTTGAAAGATTTGAGAATGGGGCATTTATTTCAGGAAACATTTTCAATAGTCTCATACCACTGATAAAGTTCACCTCCTAAGGAAATGTTTGGGTCCTAACATTTTAATTTCAGTAGATTACAAAAGGAAATTTCTGTGGCACCAGCTTTGAAAGGGAAATTATAAGAATTCCTAGTTTAAAACAGAAGATAATTTTAACAAATTAATTACTCCTTTTTTCTCAAATTTGAGGAGAAAAGTTTTTAATCACTTGAGAATTACCACTTGATACATTGTACATGTCAGCAAAAAGTTTAGTCTATGACCATGTATGAAAGGGTATATAAATTGTTTAAACAACAATTTAATTAAATTAAAATAGAAAATATTTGCTCTGTTGCTCAGAAATGTTTCTCTGTTTCCCTAAATCAATTAACATCATATGTATATCTTAAACTATGGATAGCAAAGCTGCTACTATTCAGATGATTTGGACTGCACCTCTCACAAGCCTCAACCATTGACCTTACTGGCTGGGACTTAGGGAGTTACAACCCAAAATGTCTGAAGGACATTAGGTATACTCTTGTACTAGATGGTTGTAATTGCCAATCACTCTGCCCCTCCCTTTTGTTAGCAAGTTGTACTATCACTATAAATCACTACCATTTATTTCATTTCAATACAAGCCCATTATCAAAGTTCTGTGGGAGGTGTACAACAATAGTCTCGTGTACTATAGTTTTGTGTTACTAGACAGGTTATTTTGGAAAACAGATGGTTAGTAATCTGTATTATTGGTTAGAATATAATGGGCCTAGAACTAGATACCCTATAGATTTTGGTACTCAAAGCATAAATGTAAAGCTTGATAAACATCTATATGCACAATGTCCAGATTATTTCTCTGCTACAAATACACTTAGTTGAACATATTTAATGAGGTTAAAGTTAAATTGCAGAAATGGAAGCAGTTTTTCTACCACTCAGTTCCCCTAGTGTAACATAAATTGATACATGGCGAACTGATGCTGCATACAAATGACTGTTTTGGAATTGGCAAAGTAGAGATATTGAGCTCTTTGCACCAAAGAAATGAGTAGAGGCCAACCAAAAGGGCAAGAAACTTCTAAGAAGAGATTAACTCTAGATCATATGGCAATATTTAATATATTATAGTTCTGAGAACGTGAACTCATGCTAATATATTTAGAAAGTTACTTGCAGGTTTCTCCAGTTATAGCTGTGTTTCAGAAGTATAATGACACAACTTTCTAAATCTGGAATGCATATAAAAATTGCCTTTGACTAATTTTCAATAGATTATCTGGTTGGAAATAGGAAAGTTTGTGGAAATTTGAAATTCCATGTTAGAGCTTTTAGGTTCTTGATTTAAAAAAGAAATCCGATTGAGCTTTGTTAACAACATTGCTCAAGATGATTTTCATGATTTGATGCCTCCCTAAGGCAATTACTAACACAAAGTTGCTATTCCCTATCAGATCATGCTGCAATCTTCTCTTCAAAACGGAAACATCCTTATTGAGTCTAGATGTCTATGGGTTCACTGGAGTATCTTCTGTTTTTAGTTAAGTAATTTTTTGCCCTTTGTGTTCATTAATTTCCTTCCAGTTCACGTCCAGTGAAATGTAGCATATTTTGAAGTATAAAAGCTGGAGACAAAAATAGGATTGTTGGATTATCTTTCTTTTTCAAGGAATACACTTTACAGTTTTTAAGAAATAAAAGGCTGAGATTCCACAGAACATATATACCTCTAAATATTGTAGTATTTTAAAGAGGATTTTCAGGTGTTTTCGCTCTGACCACATTTATCAATTCCCTTGAAAGGCTCAAGTTCTACAGTTCAACAACACAGTCGTAAACAATACCATTTTGTTTAATATTTTGGGCTTACTTGAGAAGGTAATGGATATGTTGCTCATTAAAGAAGGAACATACTGGGTTAATAAGTCATTTGGTTGCAGACATATATTGGGTGTAAACTTCTGCTAGTTAGATATTTGAAATACAATGTTGTTAACATTTATCCAACTAGCTTTGTTAGGATGTGAGAAATATCTTAATTAGAATATTAGTTATCTGTGTGAATGTCTAAGATGAGAAATACATCAAGGTGGCATGCATGCTACCTATAGGAAAGAAATATTTTATGCTGATATGGTTACTTAATTTTTGACAAAAAACAAAACCCAACCCTCTGATAATGCAAGTCTTGGACTTGCTGTGCATAAAGTGTGTCAAAACTCCAGAAACAGTCCAGGGGGTGAAGTTGGTCAATTTAATTCCCCAAGATCTAAAGAAGGTCGGTATCACTTCATATAGCCCTGGCAGAGCAGATCATTACCAGTCACAAATCTGTTCGTTACATGCCGAGAGTTTATAGCAAAATAAATAGACTGTCATCACAAGTTCAGAAAATTGTGTGTTCGACCCACGATAATGTGTAAAGGGCGTTTAATAGAGTTCAGCATTTATTCGTTATCTGTATGCGGGCAGAAACGGCAGTAGCGTTATCAGCTTCTTGGGGGAAAAAATTCGGTAGTTCTCCATGTCACGTGACATGCCTCACAGAAGCGCACATACTCTGCGATGCAGTTTTGATTCTACTCACAGCAGAAGGCTTAGCCACAAGAGATTCCACTGGTTCAAACCAGCGTAAACCAGATTTTTTTTTAGTCTACAAAGGAACAGATTACCGCTTGTATCAAATTGGGAAGGGGGGGCAGGGAGAGAAGCATCTTTGTTTCAAATATATGCTGATTATTATAACCCGAAATGGTGGCTACACACATTGTAATTCTGTTTGACTGAATTTGGCAAGTCTTTTATATCACATTTTAAAAACTGAAGTTGTTAGAATTGTTAGAAGTGTTGTCATTGTTAAATGGGGAAAATCTTTTGTTAATTTGAATGAATATCTTTCAGCCATCATTTAAAATGAAAATCTCCCATTACTTAGCTTAGTTGCAAATCCTATGCGGAGCTTAAATTCAGCCATGCAGCACAAACAAGATAGAACATTTTTTTTGTTTGGGACCTATTGAAAAAACAAATGTGGAGCATTTTAAAACTCTCATTGACTATAGTAGAGTGTCATGCCCCTAATGGTCTCTATTGCAGGATAGTAGTTTTAAACTTTGGCCCCTAAAGTATCATAGCCAGCTGAGGAATAGTGACCTGGGAGTGGGGACAGAATAGTGATGCGATCAGCTCCCAGCTCATCTCTTTTAAAGAGACTTAATGTTTGTCTTTTTGGAGAAGAAAGTCAGAAGGAAGGAAAAGAATGATCGAAAAAGGTTGCAAAGTGTTTTCAATTATGAACAGGTGGGGTTGGACTGGAAAAAGTGTGTGTGTGTGCATGTGCATTCCTGAGAAAGGTTATTTTCTACAGACCCATTAACTGCACCAGCTTCCTTTCAAATGATTAGAAGTACCATCTCTTGATTTGTTTGACAGTAGTACATGTCTTAATTTTAGATTGACAGAATGAGCATAATGACTTCTTCTGTAGTTGAAAATGTCATACTTGGTATGTGAGGGGACCCCCAACTTTACATCAAAGTTTAAAATAAGTTTGCAAATATATGCATTCATTGGTAATGGCCAATTTTAGAAGTGGCCACTTTAATTGTCAAAATAAAGTGGACCAGTGAATACCCCCCCCCCCAGTTTGCCCGCTATCTAGTTGTGTTTGTTTATTTTGCAAAAAGAATAAGTGTTCGCAACACAACAGATCTTTCAATAAAGACCATTTGTATTTAACTGACTAGATCTGTTGAAAGGAAACCTGCTACTGTAAGATTAATAAAAGTGTGCAATTGAAAGGAG